GAATCTTTGTACTTGTTTTGGGGGGTAGAGGAGGACTTTTCCTCCGCATCGTCACAAAGACGCCTTCTCTTTAGGCCATATATATATATATATGGATTAGTATTTATCTGTTTTACCTTTAAAAAATTAGGTAAAAAAAAGACAAAAATCACTTTAATATATATTTTAAAAATAGGATAGTTTAATCTTTTTAAATAAAAATTTATTGAAACGACGTAATTTTGAGATGATTTTCTTCTTAATCTTTAAGAGATAAAGTTGATAAGCACTATTTCCATATATATATATATTTTTTCTTTGGTGAAACTCCGTTGGCCATGATTACAATGAAATTTTGGAAGATGAGTGTGGAGTAGTTTTTTTTTTTTCCATTTTTTATAAACATTGGGATTAGTGCTTTATATTGTAAGGGATTAAACTTTTTTTTTTCCTTTTACTGATGTTATAAGGGATTAAAGTTAAACCTTTAACCATTTTGAAGGTTTTTCAAAATTTTCCTAACAAAGTTGTAAGTCAAAGTCTTCTCCGTCCGTAACCCTTTTTTTGGGTAGGCACTTTCACCTCCCTAACTAGCACGAAATTGCCAATGCGAAATGTCAAGGTTTGCTTCTTTTTTGGGATAGATAGAGACAATGAATCTTCATACTTGTTGGGGAGAAGGGGAGGACTTTCCCTCCAAATCGGCATGATGATGCCTTCTTCTTAGGCCATAATTACAATGAAATTTTGGAAGATGAGTATTGAGCAGGAATAATGATAAAAAAAGACAAATTATATGAGATGAAAATTTGGGATTAATAACATGATATTAGTTATTTTCTTATTATTAATGTGGTATAAGTTATTTTATTTAAATTATTAAAAAGTTAATTCAATATAATTTAATTGATTAGCTATTTTTATTTTATTAATTATATGAAAAAAGCGCATATCAATCTTGATTTCTATATAAAAAAAATGGAATTCCAACCTTAAATAACATTGTTTCTTTTAATTAAAACTCAATGAATTTCATCATATATAATATTGATACCTGTATTTAGAAACAACTTATATTAAAATATATAAGTTATTTTCAAATTCATGTATCAAAATTTAATAGGATGAATTTTTAAATTTTAAATTAAGTTTTAATTAAATGAAATAATGTTATTTAAGGTTAAGATTCCAATTTTTTTTTAGAATCAAAATTGATATACATTATCCTCTATATATATATATTAAGGTTTGTTGCTTGGTATTGTAAAATTTTGAGCTCTTGATTATTTTAAATTAAGATTTTTTAAATTAAAGAGTATAAGCTTAGCTAAAGTAATAGAAAGATACTTATTACTCTATCTATCCCCAAAAAAAATAGATTTTTTATTTGAATTTATTTTAGATTAATAGTCTTTTTTTTTCATATTTTAGAGAAGATAAAATTTTTTTCCACTTTAATCTTACATTGTCCTTTAATTTTAATTATATATCCTATTATAAAAATGTATATCTTTATCTTTATCTTTTTTAATGTTAGTAAATGTAAAAATATAAATTGTTTCTAACTACTTAATTTGAAGATAAAATAAAAGATATATATTTATTATTTTAGAACAGGAAGTAATAAAAAAAAAAAAATCACTCTGTCATTTCCCCTTTATTTCTTTCAAACTAGACATATGGTAATTAAAAGCATAAAAAAACTAATTCCATTCCTACCCAGAAGTTGTTCTTCCATCCAATCATTTCCCGGGCAAGTTGTATTAGTCAAGGTCTTCCCTGTCCATAACTATAACGAAGGTGCAAATTCTAACAAGTTATTTCATCCAATCATTTTCCTAACAAGTTGTAAGTCAAGGTCTTCCCATTCAGAACAAAAACGAAGTGCAAATGCTAACACGTTATTCCATCTAATAATTTTCCTAACAAAGTTGTAATTCAAGGTCTTCCCAATCCATAAGGACCATAACAAATACGAAAGTGCAAATGCTAACAAGTTGTTATTCTATCCAATAATTTTCTTAACAAAGTTGTAAGTCAAGGTATTTCCGTGCATAAACTCATATGGATTGAGAGAAAAGAGAAAAAAAATGAAAAAATTGACCAACAACTTAAAAAATTTAATGGTAATCTTCTTTTAGTGGTTTGGTAAAATGAAAAACTTCAGATATAAGAAATAAACCAATTATAATTCTTCAAATTAAATTAGACAACCAATGACTTTAATTCAATTTTATAGCCCGGTTAGCTTAGTTCAAAATTTCATTTTCGCTTTCTACAATTATTATTACTTTTTAATTTTAGGTTCCACAATTAAATTTTTTAAATCTTCAATGATTGCCATGATCTTAACAATAATTAATGTTTCATGTTTATAAAAAGTTATCAGAAATAGCTCTAATTAAATGACTTCAAAGGATTAGTTGAGCTTTAAAAAAATAAAATGTTGAAAAAAGTTTTAGTATGAAATGATTAATAGACAATTTTTATATACAATTTTTTTTATTTAACATTAAATGTCATTTAATGATTGACTCTTTTATTTTACTAAGACTCATAATATTGTATATATTTATTTATTTAATAACATATAAAAATTATAAATAAAAATTATACAAAAAAATTACCTATATATTATTACCCCATTTTAATTACAAGAATAATACATAGGAAGATACATCCAAAAAGAAAGACTTTTGGAGTCTATTTTGTCATTCTCAACACAAAATTTGGGTGGAATGATATGATCCCACTACATTAATTAGTATGACTATGAACTCAAAGGTATCTCTTTTCTATTATTGTAGAAATTAAAGATGTTCTAAAACCCTAATACATTTTTATTAGAAAAAAGACTCTGGAGATTAGCATTGACTCGAAGGTAATTTTAGAGAAGATAATTTTTTTTCCACTTTAATCTTACATTATCCATTAATTTTAATTATATATCCTATTATAAAAATGTATATCTTTATCTTTATCTTTTTTAAGGTTAGTAAATGTAAAAATATAAATTGTTTCTAACTACTTAATTTGAAGATAAAATTAAAAAATATTTATTATTTTAAAAAGGGAGTAATAAAAAAGAAAAAATCACAACCGTCATTTCCCCTTCATTTCTTTCAAACTACACATGTGCTAATTAAAGCATAAAAAAACTAATTCCATTCCCACCTAGAAGTTGTTCTTCCATCCGATCATTTTCCTAGCAAGTTGTATTAGTCAAGGTCTTCCCCGTCCATAACCATAATGAAAGTGCAAATTCTAACAAGTTGTTATTTCATCCAATAATTTTCCAAACAAGTTGTAAGTCAAGGTCTTCCCATTCAAAACAAATACGAAGTGCAAATGCTAACACATTATTCCATCTAATAATTTTCCTAACAAAATTGTAATTCAAGGTCTTCCCCGGCCATCCACAACTATCACGTAGGTGCAAATGTTAACAGGTTTTATTATATCCAATAATTTTCTTAACAAGTTGTAAGTCAAGGTCTTCCCAATCCATAAGGACCATAACAAATAAGAAAGTGCAAATGCTAACAAGTTGTTATTCCATCCAATAATTTTCCTAACAAAGTTCTAAGTCAAGGTTTTCCCGCGCATAAACGCATATGGATTGAGACAAAAAATGAAAAAATTGACCATCAACTTAAAAAATGTAATGGTAATCATTTTTTAGTGGGTTAGTAAAATAAAAATCTTCAGATTTAAGAAATAAATCAATTATTATTCTTCAAATTAAATTAGACAACCAATTACCTTTTTATTTTCTTTTATGGAAGACAACCAATGACTTTAATTCAATTTTATAGTCCGGTTAGCTTAATTGAAAATTTCATTAAATGTCATTTAATGATTGACTCTTTTACTTTACTAAGACCCATAACATTGTATATATCCATTTATTTAATAATATATAGAAATTGTAAATAAAAATTATACAAAAAACTACTTGTATATTATTACTCCATTTTAATTACAAGAATAATACATATGAAGATGCATCCCAAAAGAAAGACTTTTGGAGTCTATTTTTGTCATTCTCAAAACATAATTTGGGTAGAATGATATGATCCCACTACATTAATTAGTATGATTATGAACTCAAAGGTATCTCTTTTCTATTATTGTAGAAATTAAAGATGTTCTAAAACCCTAATACATTTTCATTAGAAAAATGACTCCGGAGATTAGCATTGACTCAAAGGTCTTCATTATTGAAGTCACTCTCAAAAGCTAAATTTCGTTGAACTTTCATAGAGGAAGCAAAGTTTGAAATGTTCTTATAAACATTTTCTTTCAATGGCGAACTCTCCAACCAAGATGGGAAATTCACATGACTCTATTTGATGACGAAAAAGAAAGGAAAAAAAGCTTTGAAAATTGTAAAAAAAAACTGCACACAGTAAAACATTTTCTCTACTCATATGGATGGAGAAAAAATTAAAAAAAAAAAAAAGGACGAACAATCTAAAAAAAACTTAGTGGTAATATCTTTCTAGTGGTGTAGTAACATAAAAATCTTCAGATTTAGGAAATAAACATAATGTTGGCATCTTTAAATTAAAAAAAAAAATGAAAGTTAACATTTTTAAATAGAAAAAAGTTGAAAATTGACATCCTTATATAGAAAGAATTAAAAATTGATATTTTCATTTAGAAACTAATAAAGTTAACATTATTAAATAGAAAAAAA